TTTGTTGCTAGAAAGACCATGTAAAAGATGGTAGACATTGCTGACAGTGACTGGCTGGAATGCACTGAATTCTGATTTAGCCTTTTCAATATATGTTTGAAAGTTCGAATTTGGAGTATCAATTTTGCTAGCTAGATCAGGGCCAATATTTGAAAAATAATTATTAAAGCCCTCCGCAATATCTTTGGTATTTGTCAAACTATTTTCACCTAATTTTAACTCATTTACTACTGTTGGTTTGCTTTGCCTACCTAGTATATCGTTTATAGTTTTCCAAGCCGCCTTAGGGTTGCATTTTTGATCAGAAATTTTAGTGATCAGAAATTTTAGTGGTTTTGAAGCGGTGAAAGAATGTTGGCAAGAAACTTAGAAGTGTTGTAGAGTGCTGTATTCCTACAAGTAACGATTGGGCAAAGAGGATTGTTGGGTTTGTGGTGTTTCACAGATCCTCGTATAGCAGGGTGGTATACCGTCAGTGGAATGTAGTTTAAAGTACGTATGTTGGTCAAGTTTTTGTTCCGCAAACCTACACACATTGGACGATACTTAGACTATAATTCACACCATGACAAACAACACAAAATTAGCACTACACAAACTCTACTACACAGAGCAGCAACATTACCTAATACTGACCAAGGAAAACAACAAGAACGAATTCATGTAACTAACACGTTAATCTCAAACGGTTATCCCAAAAAATTCGTGGAGGAAATTGAACGCAAGAGAGCAAATAAACAAGAGTTTGTACCACCACCCGAAGATTTGGTTAGAATATTTTTTGAATGTGTTGAGCCGAAGTTGAACTGTATATCAGAGGCCTCACAGAACCTCTCAAACGACTTCTGAACCAACATGATATCCGAGTCATGTCAAAACCCCTGTATACCTTGGAAAAAATTTTCCTTCGCCAAAAGACCGACCACCCGCAGAAAACCAAACTAATGTTATCTATCAAATTGGTTGCTTGGGCTGCCCATGGAACTACATCGGTGAGACAGGCAGAGCTTTCAACACCAGAAAAAAGGAACATGTGAGGAATGTTAAACAATTCAAGGACGGGTCTAACATCGCTAAACATGCTTGGTCAAATGATCATAAAATTCTTGTTAATATAATATCATCATATATCTATAACGTAGGCGGAGCGGAAATGTTTAATTGTTTTTGCATGTAATTGTAAACCAATGTTTTTCCATGTAATTCATTATCACTTGCCCGTTGAAGACTGCAGACTGGCAGTCGAAAGCTCGTTTCAATAAAATTTTTTATAAACCAGAGAACGTCCAAACTATTAATATGAATAATCCTGGTTACGCTTCTACCATTTTTAAAAGAACACTTACTGTTGAATAAAAACGTATATTTATTTAACACATTAATTGCTCAGCATAAACAATACACAGTTTACAATGACGTACATATATACCTGCGTTAGTTACTTTCGTCCAAGCTGCTGAATTTAAATATGGTTTTATTTCCAATATGTCATAATTTAGTACTTCTGGCAGGGGGTGATCATCATCAAGATGAATTTCATTCTCTGAAAGAGGTATATTAAGCTTCTTGCACTTCTGAATGGCTGTAGTTGGAATTCCAAACAATTTGAGTACTGCCAGGACTGTAAAAATGTAGATGAAACAGAAAAACATAAATTAATTTTGTATTTCACGTCTATTCTTCCTCATGCATTATAAGAGTGTTAGATATTCGTATAGACTAGACCACTTAAATTATTAAAATTGTTAAGAATATAAAAAACTATAGTTACGTTTATGACTAAGTACATGTTTTAAAGTGACTTACAATACCTTTGAAAAAAAGTGAACAAATATCCTGGTTGGTTGGTTTCATGAATCGCACATTGCCTGTACGCTTTCGTTTCTTCTTTGTGGATTTAAACATTCGTTGTACTTCAATATTTTTGTTTGCCGGGGTATTCTTCGTCACTTTCAACTGCAGTAGGGGCTTCCTTTTACAATAAATATAGATGGTGTGCAGCATTAAGTTGCTTATCAAGCTGCTGTAATGCTTCTTTATCATTACATTCCTCATTTTGTTGCAACAGAAGGAGTTTCCCCTTAATTGCTTGCTTCAGTGTTGTGGTGTCACTGTTAGTATCTCTTTTATGCAAGTGAGATGCTTTTATGCAAGTGAGATGTTTTATGCTGGTCTTTTTTATGCAAGTGAGATGTGACAAGTCGAACCTCATTGTCAGCATATTCCTGGCTTGGAAAGAAGTTGTCTAGTTGATGGGAATTGCTGCTGTCCATTTGATCTTCATTTGAGAAAAATCGTTGAAGGAGGTGAATATGTTTGCAAATAGTGCTCCATCCTCGTGCCCAGGGTCTTTTTGGGAAAGACCCTGGTATCGGCTGGTCACGTGCCTCTACAAAAATTGATTGCCCAAGGGGGAGTGGCAAAGTATCAAATTACATGCTTCCACAGAAAACGTTAAATTTCAAATACCAGGAGTGGGATTTACGATATATAGTTCGAAGCGCCCGCTAACTTCTATTTTATTACCTCTGTTTGCTTTTAAATTACAAAAACACTGTACTCTGTAGCCATTTTATCAAGAGTCAAGTCAAGAAACAAATAAAATGTATAGTTTAAACTTTGATGAAGTTGGGTATTCTCTTGAAACATATTTTCATATCAAACTGGTCAGTCGTCAACGTTTGTACATTTTCACTTTTATCTGTTCCGAAAATATGCCATTAGATTTGTTGTTTGAAAACGTTGATAAACTTTGTACCGATTTAGTAATAATACGCGTTTCATTTTATAGTGAAGGTTGATAAAATTTTGAAATGTAATTAACTCTTTGTCACAAATCACAATGTAAACATGTGGACACTGCCGAACAGAGACTAAATGCTCACATTAAAAATGTCGATGATTTATCTTTGAAAATACTTTTAACTAAATAGTTTGTCATATTTATTAAAAACCCCTGTAGATCGGTAGGGTAGGAAGTTGGCAGGTAGTAAAGTACAACAATTTTCAGCCTCAGGCCTGTATCATCAGGTGGTATATACAATCACGGCTTTAGCCTGATAATTTTTTGGCCTCTATGCACTAAGTAATGGGGGTAATAGCAATATTTATAACAGTATTTCTCTGATATACAGTACACACTTTATAATATGAACATAGTCATAGATAATTCCATAAACCACAGAATAAACATGGCATAAACCACAGCATAAACACTGATATCACACTCAGTCTGATATGCATATGCAGTCATATATAGTCATATGTACCACAGATATATTAACACTTACATAGTCTTAGAATTTGATTCAGTATTATATTTCACAAAGTACTTCATTACAGTAAAGTAATTTCATTACAGTTATTAGCTAATGTCACAATTAAAGCTATTTATCAATTTTATCATGCGGACTGCATTCTCTAAATGTCCTAAATGTCAAACATATACAGTATTCGTATTTGTAACATACACGCACAAACAAGTCTTTGACTTATCTTTGAGTAGGCTATTGTCGGATTATTTTACCGTAGGTTTGATAACAGGGAGGTATACTTCGACATATTTCTTGAGCATCAAGTTTCAACAGATTCTGGTTTTTCGTATCTTTGAGGATGATTCTGAAGTCCGAGTAGCATTGTTTACAAGCAACATTGTTTGCGATATTTCAGAAATCAAAAGATCTCTATATTTCGTTACACATCTCAGTATTAAATAAATCCTTGTAGTTTAGGATAGACACCAACAGCTAAATAACAACCACATCGGTCGGTACTGGTGTAGAAATATATTTTCTTGTAACGTTTGCGACGTGTTGATTTCTTCAACGAGCTATATCGGCATATTGTCTATTGAAATCTATCTTTGCTCACTGACATTCTACGCACAATGAAATTTGATATTTACTATTGTGTAGCATTGATAGTATTCGTGACAAATAAAATATACAATTTTGTAAATATTTCCTGCATGATTTCTGGGTTATTTCTTCGCTCACTCCTTGCTCAATGACAAAACGTACTTATGTACCCACCCTACTTGGATTTTTTTGTTATCTCCCAGATTCTGGGAGACACGTGACCAGCCAATAGCAGGGTCTTTCCCAGCCGGTGGAAAGTCCTTGCGACGGAGGTTGATAGTGCTCTGGATTAGACAGTCTGGGCAATTGCACGTATGCTGATGAATGCATGTTTGACATTGAATACACTTTCATTTGGCAATCGTTTTCTGTGCAACTGGGATCATGTTTAGTGATTGTGTAAGAATGTTGTCCATCCTTATTTTTTACTACCCATTTCAATCCGTCGTCAATACACTCAACATCATCGATGTTCATTTCTTTACTCTTGTTATGGCGATCTTGTATGACATTCAACTTATGTATGTTCTTTCCCTTCGTGATTCTTATTACTTTTTCAAATGACTTATCTCTAACATATTTTAGTAAGTTAATAAGGCAGTTAAATACCTGCTTGTTGCATTTACCTTTCAGATAGCTGTATTTAAACACCCGGTGAAATGCATCTACCACCATATTAATGTTTATCCCAAGTCCTCTACGATAACAGTAAGCCCGCCATTCTTTTTTTCCTGACCACTCTTGTTTAAAGTATTGGCTAAATTCTAGGCTGAGAGCTGGAAGACGTTCAAGTAGCTGCGAGAAGTAGTCCTGGAATGATGTGACCAATATCTCTTGTAACACTGTACAAAGCATCTTTCTGCTGCGACAATGGTGTCCTTTACCTTTGCTTGTAACTCTTCTTCCATGCTTTGTCTACATGCCATGTGCACACTAGTCGCAATCATGTACCTCCCATGACGCCAATCCAAGCATTATAGAATTGACTTGCTAAGTCAGACATAAACCAGCATGGTGTTAATATGCCACAATTCTTCTTTATCTCGTTAAAAAATATACACATGTGTGTAAAGTTCTCATGGTTTGATAAACACCAAGCAATCGGGAAGCCTGCCCCATACTCATCAAGCACTACCAATGATGTCAACGGAAAATCATAACCATTAGTTCCATGTGTGGCATTAAACAGATTCCCTTGGTAGCAAATTTGTTAGACATCACTTTCTGGAAAGGACTTTGGATTATTATCATAAAATCATGCTTCGCCAAATCAATACCTTCTGGACCATCTTCTCCCTGGAACATGCAAAACAACACTGGATTGTTCTCACTCTGGCACCACTCTTCTACCCATGCTCTAACGCTTTCTTGATCATCTGTGTGTCTTTGCACGTCATCAATCCCGAAGGAAGCCATTATGTCGGAGAGATCCTTTTTTCCTGTAAGATATGAGCACTTGAAATCATCGCCTTGTTGCATAGCTTCTTCTCTGATATCTCCTAGAATTCTTTCTCTTGACACTCCCTGTTATAGTAGTGCAGCAATTTCTTGGCGTTTTGTCTTTGCCAGCCAGGTGTGCTGAAGTTGTCGTTCATGACCATAATGAGTGTGGCAAACATCAACTGATATCTTACCATCTTCATGCTTTGTTGTTTTAAAGGTGGATGTGCAGTTATGTTGCATTTTACAAGTTCCTAGATCAATTGAAAATATAACAATTTTCAATCTTTAATTTTATATAAATAATCCTATCTCTTCATGTTGTTCTCCACACAATTGCATATGATAAATAAAGTAACCACTGTACCTTAGACTTCATTCTTCTTTTTCCAGTGCTGTTTAGTTTGTACAGGCCACCATGGTTACACTGGTAGTATTGAACATTTCCTTTTCCACCTGTTGTTTTCACATACGAGCAAATACCATCTTCTTCTGTTCTTGCTTTCCATTCTTCAAATTCTATATTTATTTTTAAACAAGGAAATTAGCGAAGGAAACTAGTTGTCAGTTTTTATTTACCCATTAAGTGATAGATCAGTTGGTAATATTAAACAAATATAATACAGCCGAACTAGCCAGACTCGACCAAAATTTTGTGCTTTTGATCGTATTTTCATCTGGTGCTTTCGCCCTAAATTCCTATAAGGACATTTCATTTGCTTGTCTTTTCCTTTCCAACATGTTTGTTTTTGGAAAATCATTAAATGTACAGTACAATTAATAAAATAATTGTACTCCTCTCAACCAATCAGCATCCAGTAATTCGTGTCTCAAAGTACCTTTGATCAAAACCTAATAGCAGTAGAGATCGCTACTGTTTATCTATGGATGCGCGTAAAACATCTTGGTCGTTAGGCTGCAGTTTGTACTGCCTCCCAGTGACTGTTGTTGGAACACAAATGTTACAAATAACGTTCGCATCCAGAACCCAACAAATATCATCTTTTACTGGCCAGAAGTATGATCGTGCGATGCACTTGGGGTGCATAAACCTTATTTTTGCATCTCTTTGATGACTGTCAACTTCTTCAATCAAACCAATCCAGTGTTCCTCGTCATACAAGCATACAACAAAAGAATTCGCTGAAAGTACAATAGGTTCACTGGCAGGGGTAGATAAAAAATTAAATTTTAGTGCAAAGTTTTGCTCCATTGATATCCGTTTTGTACCAATGCAAGAAGCAGAGAGCGGGACAAATTGATGGAAGCTGCCTGTACCTGGTACAGTTTTGGCAATTGTGTAACGTGGTTCTAACATCGTTCTGGTAATTTCCATATCTGCCTGTGAAATGAAAATGAAGTGAATGCCTTTGATTTCGTCTTTGCAGAATGTGAATACTTCTTGTGCTGAAAGTAATTGCTTGTCATACGGTCTTTGCAAACTTGCTCTTGCTGCAAGTCTTTTGACTGTGCCACCTACACCATCGCACGGTGATTTACCATGGCTTGTCGCAAAGAAATTCCATATGCAATCAATGCCGAAATCTTCTTTATGATAACAAAGATTTAGAAAATTCTTACAGTTTTTATACTGCCCAGCACAACCATCTGAAAAATAATGCACTAACTTGCATTCGTCATTGACATGCTCCAGTATATAACTGATAGTCTCTTTCATTATTTTGTAAACCATGTCTACATCATGATTCAGGTCATCAGAAACAAAACAAAGAGATCTTTCAACAAGCACGCCATCTTTCTTGCTGTATACAACCACTGGATGTAATGTGCTCTGTGTTTTGTTCCAATGGTAGCCCTGAATTTCATCCTGCACCAAGAACTTGTAATTTTCAGCAAAGTCAACTAAAACAATGACATATTTTTCATCTAAGTTCTCTTTCTGTTGCTTTAAATAGCTACCTTGGGCTTTTGCAATGAAAGAATGGACAGTAATCTTGTTAAGTTTGTCAGAAAGGATTTCAATAAAGTCAGATAGGCTGGTAGTCTGTTTTATTAACTCTGCTCTATCTGTACTGCTCCACTGATTGAATGTTATCTCCGGGTCATCACTCTAGTCATTCTCACTATCACTGTTATCTGAACTATCTGCGTTACTGTCATCTGACTCGTTTCTAGTTAAAGCTGTTGTTAAAAACGCTTTCAGTGGCTCAATTCCAGGGCAATGCGAGCATCTGTGTACCATGCACTCCTTTGAATCCCTGTCACACACAATCATTTCAATCAACTCATGATATGTTTTGTCAATTTTAATAGCATTTAAAAGAAGAATAACATTTTGATGATATGTACAAACACAAACGGAATGTGTTCCTGAAGCACCAATTGTTATGCACCATTTTGGTCTTAGCATGCAGAATTTTGAAAATCCAATCTTGACAGCAGGATTTCGCTCTTTGAAAGATGAGTATAATTCTTTCAGATTCGAAAGAATCAATCTCTTCTGCATGTGGTGGTTTCTGCCAATGCTTACGTAATCCTTCTTTCCAGGAAGAAGTCTGCTATTTTCATCATTACAGTAGAATTCTTTCACGAGGGTCTCGACTGTATCAGGTAGGACATTACCTTTCTTTGCCCCTGGAGTTGCCAGAATACCCTTTTCCTTTTGCAGCCCGAATGCTTTGCGGACCATGTAGTTTGAGACACCAAACACCTCTGCTGTTTTTCTGACTGACCAAGATGATGGTGTCATTGTCAGAACTTGAATCTTTGTTTTTCGTGGTGAAATTTGAATTTTTTCTTTCATCAACTCAACAATTCTGTCAAGATCACTTGCTTTGTTCTTTATTTCATCCGAAATAGCATTTTCCTGCTCACTACATTCAATTTCCTCTGGTGCGACATTTAAAACATTTGCTATCTTTTCTTGAATCCTTGAGTGCTTTTCCTTTAATTTATTCTGTAACTGTGACACTTTCCTTTTACCATAGCTGACTTTCGAATGCTCACCAATTGCATGTAATTTCACTGGGCTAACATTAATTTCTTTAAAAGATACATTTAATTCCTTCTTATCGGCTTCTAGAGTTATTTCTTGTTCCATGGCTTCAGCATCATCGTACTCATCATCGCCCTCGCAACTAGTTTCAAAATCTTTTGTTTGTTTTTGCTTCTCTACTTCCATTCTACATGATGGGCATAATTTCTTGCCAGGTTTAACACTAATTCCATGTTCTTTCATATCCCTTGCCACATCAATGGTTATTTCTCGTAAGGATCCTTTTGCTGAATGCTTCTCCAAGTTGAATGGATTACAGCACTTTCTTTGATAGCTGGCGTACTTTACAACAACAGTTTTTTCATGGTGATTACATATTGTAAAACCTTCAGGTTCAGGCAGACCTGTTCTCCACATAATGAGGTCTTTCTCAACATCACTGAGTTCACTTGAAACTCTTTGACCAATTTGTTTGGTATAACTCAATTTATGACACGTTTCTCCTAAGTGAAGACCCACTGAACAAGGTGTTTGTTCACATGACATGTTGCTAACAACTGCAACTTCATAAAACTGTGAATATAAATGTAACCACTCCTTATCAATGCTTAAACTGATAATTATTCACATTTATGCACATTACATCATGTCATGTCATTTTTATCCTATTCTATCCCTTGTTACCCACACATATGCATGAACATTGCTCATTATTCATTCATATTCCCCATTTTTAAATATTTACTATTAATTACAAAAAATAGATTGAAACATTAAGGTCTTTGGCAGTCTCGTTTCTCAATGAATGTACTTTCTTCTTAAGAGACATCCAGAACGTACTATTAAAGTTCTGTCAAAAATAGTACAACTTTAGAGGGCTGTAATTTTAAAAGCAGGCAACTAACCATCACCAAATTTTGTCTGAAAGTAGAATAGCATGTGT